TTCCCTGTCGGCCCCCGCTCTCCCCACCACTGCCTTCAAAGACAAAATACTTCTGTCTGATGATCCTGAGTACCACCAGCTGATAGACAAAGATCCTCAGAGCTCATAGTGGACAGTACCTCTCGTTCATGAAAGTACTACTGTGTCATCTTGTGAATGCAGGGAATGTCTAAGCAGTTTGGGGTGGGGGTGGAGGGTATTAAGCTCAGTAATGGAATTTATAAGAGGGGACAAAAAAAAAGAAATCCCATTATATTTCTAGTACTTGTACACAGTCTGCTTATCCATGGTATATCACCCCATTTTAAGTCCAATTGATAGAAAAACTTCATTGTATATTGACGATAGAAGAAATTATTATTTATCTCATTGCGCATTCCATGTTCTTGGGGTATTTTATTTGGACCGAGATGGGATGAGAGTAGGGATTCGCAATGATAAAAAACCTTGTTGTTTGCCAGATCACTTTAGCTTTGGAATTTTGGGGGAAGTTATTTCTGAGCCAAATTTTAGGCTAAATCACATTCCCTGGAAACCTGTTGACTTGAGTGGGTTTTTTCTAAGGGAAAGGCAGTCTTTCCTTATTCACAACAAAACCTTTCTGAGAGTGTTGAGAAGTGGTGATAAGTAGTCAATCCTGCTTTTAAGGAATTTGTTCATTTTGGTTAAAAATTATTGTGTCATGTTCGTGCTGTGGCCCCGACTGAGCAGTTAGATTCATGGAGAAGGATTGCACATCCCTCTGAATCCAGTTGCAGGGCTGGGGCCTGTCCATGTATATGACCATAAACCATAAAGCTGACAACATTTTTTCTCTTTAGAAAGGCTAGACTGTTATTTTGCATGCATTTAAGCCTTCCTAGATTGCCTTAATGGGTAAAAGTTGACTTAATTCTGCAATCTTCCCACCTTCTGTTAAAACAATGTGGTTCAGAGATTTATTAGACACAAATAAATATTTTCTTTCCATCAACAAAATGTAGCTGATGAGGCATCTATAAGGATTATCAAAAATGCATCTAGTTTGTGTTGGCATTAATATTTTATTTTGCTGTCAATATGCAATAAAAGATGTCATCCCAAATTCACAACATGATTCAGAACTATAAAAATTGAGTCCTTTGTTGCCACACATAATTTCTTACCAAAGAAATGGACTGGTGGATTTTCTTGCAGGTAGCTGAAATTCTACTTTCATCCAAGATCATCCAGTTGAATTTGCCTTTTGTTAAAGATGTTAAAAATCATGATGTCTCATGTCAGTAATGATAATGAAGGGGAAGATTGGCTTTAATGACATTAGAAGAGTCATTATGTTTAATTTATTGCTAATTAATGCTGCCAGCTTTCATATGCTTTGTCTAGCTGTCATGTGCTTGTTATATGCCTTTTTTTTTTTTTTTAATGTGTGTACACATCCCTCCCCATTCATTCATTTTTATTCTGACGATTTACACAGCTTTCTCTCCTCTAGGTTTCCTCCACACATGGTCCCGCCACACCATAGTTTACATACAACTGGAATCCCTCATCCGGCCATAGTCACACCAACAGTCAAACAGGAATCTTCCCAGAGCGATGTCGGCTCACTCCACAGCTCGTAAGTTGTTGCTTCCCGTGTCTTCTTTTTAGACCTCCCAAAGCATCACCTGTGCATGTGTGGCTTTTAAAAAGGCTTGGTTTTGTGGGGGTGTTTTTGCTGTGAAATGTTTTTTTTTTAATTGCCTTTTCTTTTCTGTTCTAATTGATTTGAACACGGTTTAACTACTAAAGTATGTCAAAATAATGGTAACAGTCTTTCAGAGTCGTTCTGTGACATAGACAAGTAGTTATTAATTTCAGTCATTTTAACAAGGAAGTGAAATTTTCTTGATCAAGATTCAAGCTTCTTGACTGGTTTCCCTGTTATTTAGTGCCTAGTTTGAAGCCATGAGGTACTGGGTACACAACAGGAGACAATAAACTAGAGCATAAATGGCTTGTTCAAAGCTGCAGAGAGAGCTGGTACCAAGTTGAGGTTTGAACCGAGGAGAGCCCTGGTCTGCCTCTGCCCCTAGTGCTTCTGGTGATTCTTGCCTTTCATTTCACAGGTGAAGCAGAAAGACAGCATTTTGGTTCCCATTGATGATGGGGTGTAATTATTTCCTTTACCATCATGCTCACAAGCCCTCCCCATGAACCTGTTTTCCTGGGTGCCCATGTCCTTCCAAGGCTCTTCTAGGGGCTAAGAGGGTACTTGGTAATAATTGTGTAAACATGAGGTGGATTTTCTTATAATGCTCTTAAAACTGTTCTCATACAGCAGCCAGGGTGAAGGCTCTAGAGAACGTTCTGGTCCTCTTCCTAGAGATTTCTGAGGATTAATGCTGGAGAGATTGAGAGGATTAATTTAATAAATTCACATGGTTCTCACTGTGACGCTTCTGTCTGTTGTATCTTTACCCTTCAGAAAACATCAGGACTCCAAAAAAGAAGAAGAGAAAAAGAAGCCACACATAAAGAAACCTCTTAATGCATTTATGTTGTATATGAAGGAAATGAGAGCGAAAGTTGTAGCAGAATGCACATTGAAAGAGAGTGCAGCCATCAACCAAATCCTCGGTCGAAGGGTAGGTGACAAGGGAGAAGCACAAGCAGCAACTGAAACTCAGTAGGAGACACACCTTCTGAATCACTGTGTTTTCCTGATAGCTTGATAATGGATAGGGAAGTTACTAAAGCAAAAGCCTTGGTTTGGTTTTTAGTTTTCGCAGACGCCTTTTGCCAGTGGGGTCATTCATGGGGAAGAGGGGGAGTTAAGTAATAGCAATGTTATCGCAATGTTCTTTCCATGACCTGTAGATGGAAAAATCTCAGATTTTTATTTTGTCCTAAAACAGGCAGAAAAGTAAATGGGGAATGAAAAAGCCTTTTGGTACAGTACCAGTATTAGCACCTGTGAGAGCTAGAAGAGGAGAAGGGAATGCCAGTGGAGAAGGGAGGGGGAGACCTCTTAAACCTGTAACTGAGATCTGGCTCAGGACAAGTGGTTCAGCTTCTGGACCCTCTCGCCTGCTCTTTGATTAGTTTTCTTAATTCTCCTCTCTCATCAGGAGACAAAGGTGCCAAGTGAACATAAATGATTAGTTGTGACTCAGTTGAGTTAACTGGAGTTATAATCTGGAGTTATAAATAAAATATGAATGTCAGCATGCCAGATCATCTGTTTTTATATTTTTTTTAATGCTAGCTGTATTTATGTATAAATAATACACTTTGCTGTTAACATGCTTTAAAAAAACCACACACTTGTGCTTCTTATTTTGTCATTTTCTCTTTTCTTCACCTCAGTGGCACGCGTTATCCAGAGAAGAACAAGCGAAATACTATGAACTAGCAAGAAAGGAACGACAGCTTCATATGCAGCTGTACCCGGGCTGGTCCGCACGGGATAACTATGTAGGTTCCTATGTAGGTGGAAATTTTTTTAGTAGTAGAGCTTGTAGAAATGTATATGTGACCCGCTGAACTACGACCACACATTGCACACAAGCACTACTTGGAAAGCGTGCCTCAGGATCCCAATCTGGTAACAACAACGTACGCTTCCCTCTGCGATACTAAAACTATTGGGGATAGTTCCCAGCCCTCCACTTGGCAGAGGCTTCCTGGCTGGGACTAGTAAAAGGTTAGAATTGGGGCATGACAGTAGCGCTCTGTGAAGAAACTCTTGCCTTCACTTTTACCAGTGTCTGGAAATGCTGTTTGGCTTGCTGGTCATTTTAAATTCCATTTTTTAAAACAAAATTTAAAATTCCCCTAGTATGGCTCCTCTCCTTTCCACCAAAAAGATGAATAATTAGTGTCTTGTGCTTATCTGTGTGAGAGTATAGTGGAAAGTGGAAGAATGACTTATCCTAGCTTCAGAGAAGGACTGGCAAAACCAAAAGCATGACTTGTTTGAAAGTCTTACTCTCAAGTGGGGTTAAATGAATTATTCCACGCTCTACTGTTCTATATTTCAATCATGTTTTGTTTTTCTCATGGCCATGTTATCTGCCCCCCTACCCCGCCCTCCTTATTTTTTAAAAAAGTATTTTGGAGTTTGTGATCAATTCATGGAGCGTTTTTAAGATTCACCTTCGCCTTTCAGAAAGCCTGTTCTGTAGCTAAAAGTGGTAGAATTTTCTGTCTGTTAAAAACATAAGGCCAGTGTTGTAACCACTTACCAGTAGTATATAACCCCTTCTTCCATGAAGTCTAAGTGGTGCAGCTGGTAGTAAGTGTTTCCAAGCCTAAACCCATAAATTCGTGACGAATTTGTGGATTGGTGGAAGCTCTAAACACTCTTTAACAGGATTATAGCAGCGTCTAGATTTTTTTTTTTCTTAAATTAGCTAAAAATCACCTAAAATTTTCAAGATCTCTAACTCTGGAATAAACCCTGCTCCCTACCTTCCAGTCAGACTTCCCTGCAGGTTTGGGGACCAGCAGCTGTAAGATTGATGTCAGTTGTGTAGTGTTACACATTCTGTTTTTGTGGAAGTCTGTCTCTTCCATCATCGTCATCATCAATGCCTATTTTACTGTAAATATCCTATTTTGCCATAAATCACATAAACTGTGTGCTTTGTATATGGCAACATTTATTTCTATGAGAATCTGTGCTTTCACATGTATTGATGGGAAGAAGCCAGTTCAGTCTGCAGCAAAGCCTAGAGCAGCAGCAGCTCTACACTCTTCCACCGTTCCAGCGGTGGAGAGTGCTCACTTATTTAGCAGTTTGTACTTAAGGACATTTTTTCAAATCCTGTTCTTTCTTGATCATCTTTTCTTTCCATTTGGCTCTGTCTTGCTCCCTCCTTTGTTCACCGTTGCAGATGTAGCTGTGCGTGCTCCTCAGAGGAGACCTCATTAAGCCTGATGAGGCACTGCTCCTGCTTAAATACATTTTCCCTTTCTTTTCGGCAGAGTCTGGCCTGAGACTGTCAGACCAATAGGCTTGAGGTAGTTCCTCGGCACTGTGCAGTATCGTCTTCTTGGGTGTTCAAAAGGGAGTATAGGCTTGACTGAGGTTTCAGGAATGCTCATTCTGTGCACTGACTGTGCCACCGACAGATGGGCATGTACAAAGCCTTCAGTGTTTAGGACCTTTTACTTTTGTCCTCACCGTGTGAGCACTGAGAATCCCTTTCTTCTCGAGCTAAAAAGGACAGGATGAGAGAGCCGGAGCTTTCCCAGCGGCTTGATGCTGTACCCCCAAGTGACCTTCAGGGGGAACCTTCCTGCCTGAGGAGAGCGCGGTACCTTTGCATCATAGGATTGCATCATCCGCAGGATTTATTTATTTCTCCTCTCCTGGTCCATTCAGAGCTCTCCGAGTTCCCCTCCTCCCTCAGCCTTCTGTAGGGTCTTGAGCCCTTCACACATCTAGCAGGGAAGCACCTTTGGGCTGCTTGAAATGGTTAAATTGTTAGGCACCTCACATCACGCTCAAGGATGAGGCCAGCTGTAGCCCATGTCTTCAGAAACAGGAGCAGTACATTCAAGAAACACAGCTTTCAGCCTGCTCTTAAATGAGAGAAGAGGATTCAGGGAATCCCTCGTGGCTTGTTGGTGTCACAAGGCACATTTGCTCTTCCTGAGATCTAATACAAGATGTTAAGCGGTGATGAGCGCTGGACTCAGAAGTATGTAAGGATCTAGTCACCTCGCCTGCCGCCTGTCTAGAAAATTAGTACCAAAGAACTCTGCAGTCCTGTCAAAACCCATGTTGGTTTGGCTCTGTAGAGGGAGCTGCCAAAACGGTTAGCAAGTATAGACATCCGCATTTACTTGCAGCCTCAAAATTTGTATAGTACAATGATGGAAAATGTTACAGACCATCTGCTTAAGTCTTAGGAGGACAACCTGAGGCAAGGGCAGAACAGTGTCTTCTGCAGAGCACTTGAAAACTGCTGCCGTAATTATTTTCTTAAGTCCATATATTAATTTAGCTATGTAATCAATTATCTTCTTGTGGCAGAGAAATTGAACAAGCAAGCCAGGTGATTCTTCTCCCTATTTCCTTTGAAAAGAGTGTAAAAGAAGTTAGTGGGATCTCTGTTAGTTCTTTGTTAGGAACAGTTTTCAAAGCTTGTATAGAAAAGGAACCAGAGATTCCTGGTCCCTGGCTGACTTTCCTGTCTATCAGCCATTTTTAACAGATCGCTCGCTGAAGGCGGGTGACTGCTGACCTCTGTTCTGACTGGCCCTCATGTAAAGAAGTTGTAAGATCTCGAATTGAAATAGCCCTTGAATTCCCAAATGTACTGCAAAAATGAAGCAAATTTGCTACAGATGCAGTCTGCTAATTAATGCAAGTGGCCTTGAGATTAAATAAAAATCAGGCTTATGGTCCTGAGGCAGTTGTCTAGTTTTGGTTATGTTGTTGTAAAGCTGGAAAAAATTCACCAGCTTTCACAGAGTTACTGTCAGTCTAGATCAGTATAGGTGGGGCAAAGTCTGAGCCCCTTGTATTTTTATGTGACAGGTGGACTTCAAGATACCACATTCTCTCCTGTTTTGTTCTTAGGGAGCTTTAGGAGCCCTGCTTGTCTAACTTGTGTGCCTGTCATGTTAGACTCATGGCTGCTATAGCAGTTGACTCAAAGTGACAACTTTCTGTATCCACCAAAATTACCTCAGAGGTGTTGGAGATGATTTCTCAGCAACGTCGAGGCTACAGGATTAGGTGCATGTTGTTTAAAAAACCTTTAAAATGGATGGTGCACGCAGCTTTTTCCATCATCAGAAGGCTCTCGTGAACAAGACTGTGTTTGTTGCAGCCTGGACAGCAGGGTGGCAGTTTACAACCCTGAGCAAGCAAGGGGGAACGAGTACAGAAGCCCCATGCCAGAAAGCCGGCTTTTAGGGAGGGAAAATACGACAACAGCAGATCAAAATGCAACATTCGTATTGGGGGATTTCTTACTAATACATTGCAGGGAACGTATCATAGTGAGCATCCCAAATATAGTGGGTGTGCCAAGCTGAAGCCCATCTGAACCATTTAGCTGGGAGCCAGACCAACCTACTGGATGAAAGATGTCCACCATGTGGGAGAACTTGGCTTCCCCACATATGTGTCCAACCCTTCAAAAGTGCTGTGAGGTTCCTTCTTCCACCACATGTTTATTCCCTCTTGACCACAAGGGACTGGTGTCTTTTCACCAACTTCTCTTACTACCATGTCTTCAAAAGCTCTTGTGCTGTTCACAGTTGACATGCTGGCTCAAAAGTCATCTGGGGAGCCGTGAAAATGAAGTTACTCTGTCCCCTACAGTGGCCTTTGTGCACTGCTCTGCAAACCCTGTAGCTCAGTGTTAGAAGAGTTTTCTTAGAAAATAGGTTTTCTCTTTTGAGCTGTGCTTGTTGCTTTATAACTCTTCTCTTGGAAAACAATTTTTGGGTTGCCACAGTTGTCCTGTCCCATACTGCTGGAGGGAAACAGAGAAAGGGCCTTTCTCCCTCCAGTCAGAAACCACAACAAATTGTATCATCTTGTGGGACAGTATTTGGGAAAGGGAAAGTTTAGGTTACTGGTTATTTTCCTTATGATAGACCAAAATGTGGGAAGGGTCTTAGTTATATCTGGATTTTTTCTTGTCCTGGCTTTGCTTCCTAGGTTGTCAGTGGACCTGCAGGTTAGGAATTGCACATTGCTGTGGCTTCCTTGTCTGCTTTATCGGTCGGGTTTGGGTGCTGAGGAACTCGAGGGGCTCAATCTGACCTCACTCATGCATTCTCCCTCTTCCCTTCCCTGCCCTGCCCTGCCAGAATTAACCATGAATGATTTTGGAAACTTCCAGATGCAGGAGCATACAAGTGTCAAATGTTTTTGTCTTCATGATGATCTTACCTCAAAAGAAGCATCGTGCAAGTTGTTCAGTCCACTCCCCAGCTTCTTATGGCTTTGGTGGGTGTTAGCATTGCGGGGGGCTGCATCAAGGCTATCCAAAAAGTCACAGGGTGGGCACTCAGAGCCGTCCCCAGGGTTCAGCATTCCCCCAGGGCACCCCAAGCCTCCCTGCACCAAGGGTGAGCCACGCTGCGCTTTGGTGTCTTCCCCCAGGGAGCTTCCCGCACCAGCCACAGCCCTGTTGTTCGGTGCCGTCTTGTAAGGACACATGTTTTGGGGTTTTTTTTTTAATCCTTCTCATTTGTGTATGTTTCCTGCAGGGAAAGAAGAAGAAGAGGAAAAGGGATAAGCAGCCAGGAGAGACCAACGGTAAGTAAAAATAAGTCTAAATCTCTTGCTTAGTGGAAGTGTGGCAGTCCTGGTGTGACGCTCCTAGGTATGGGGGAGGTGGGTGCGAGTCTCCTGGCCTCACAGGGAGCCAGTCCCTATACTAGACAGCTTTTTTTTTTTTAATGCACTCTAATTATTTATGCATTATTGCCCTTCTAAAACTAGTAACCAAGCCATTGCATGTGAGAGCCTCCTGTGACGTTAGCTGAATTTGTACGTAGCCATTGCAGAGCCTTTAACTGCAGAGCCGTAGTTGTGATGCCTATGCCATCATTTATAAAGTTGTCTGCTTATTTTGCGCATATGTGTGTGCGTGTACGTACGTATGTATGTGTTCGGTATTAATTTGGGCTGTACCTGTGTGTACTGATGCATGCCTTACAGTGGTAAATCGCACCCATTTTAAATTAAGGAGGTTTGCCATTCTATATAGGAAATTAGAAATACTGCATAGGCAATCTCATAGTCAATTTTGAAGAAGCCCTGACTTAGTTTTTTTGAAGCCTTTGTATAATTTGTTCTTTTTTTTCAGAACACAGCGAATGTTTCCTAAATCCTTGCCTTTCACTTCCTCCGATTACAGGTGCTAACGTCATTTTGAGTCATTTAAAATAGTTTATAAACTGCTTTTTAATTTTTTTTCCTGCCATTATAGATTTTAACATTAAACACTTATGACATTAAGAAAAAATACCATCCACACGTTTTGATAGTGTTTATTATCTATATATCTTTATATCTATTATATGTTTTATAGTATTTTTTAATTTTGTTTTTCGTTTTTGTAACAATTGCTATTAAAACAGTAATACAGTAAAAATAACGCAAAAGTTGTACTAACTGTGCAAATTGAATATGCAGTATTTCTTTAAAGAGACTGATAAAGAATGGAAGCAAGTCAGTAATGAACCTCCTTAATCTAATGGCATTTTTCATGGCTCCCACTAAGTCTTCTCACATTAGCATGCATACGCATTTTTTTATTATTATTTTAGTTTTGGATTTATTTTTTTTTTCTTTCTGCTCAAGCCTGTTCATTGCAATTCACTAGCTGTACTAACTCAGCACCTTGCCATGCTTTACGTTTTATTTTCTGGCTGATACTAATATACTCATTCCACAATCTGCTTATTCTTATCCATTCTTTTAAATACAAATTAATAAAACCAAATAAATTGAATGTTATTCCAAAAGCTGCATTATCCCAGGAGATATAATTTCCTTTTTTTTTTTTTTCCTCTTTTTTTCTCTTATTTTGTATCTGAGTTGAAGAAAAAAGCATGTTCAGGATCTAACTTCCATACTCAGCTTCTTTTCTTCCTTTTTTTCCCCCTCTCAAAAAAAGAGAATAAAAAAACCCAGCCCAAATAAATCTTGCCTGAAACATCCTGCTAGACCAGCCACAATGACTTTCCTCTACCTGCTCTTTTAAAAGGGAAAGAAACAGTCCTTTATAAAGGGATACTGCAGCTTTAATTGCAACAGCTAATCTCAAGAGTTGAATAAAAATGTGATTATCACTTTTTTTAACTTTTAAATCAAAAGTCAATATTTTGCAATTAATAACGAGGACATTGATTTTTATTCCCTTTTTTATTTTTATTTTTTCCTTATTTTTACCTTTCTCTTTTTTCTCCCCTTTTCTCTCTTCCTCTCTCTCTCTCCCCCCTCTCCCCTTTTCTTTTTTTTCCTCTCTCCCTTTTCTGCTCGCTTTTCTTGAACTCATTCAGACCTGAGCGCTCCTAAGAAATGCCGAGCGCGCTTTGGCCTTGATCAACAGAATAACTGGTGCGGCCCCTGCAGGTGTGTATAGTTTTCCCAGACTCGCTATGGCTGATTTGCAGCTGGTTTATTTGGTACTTTCCCCTTTTTTTTTCCTGCCTTGTCGCTTTGTAGCTCTGTGTTGTGATCTAGAAGACACAAGGGAGTGGGACACTGCCATGAGTTACTGTCTCTCTGAAAGGGTTTTGCTTTTTTTTTTTTTCCTGTTGGTTGTTTTTTTGCCTTCCTCTTTGCTGCTGCTAGCCAAAAACCCACTGTAAAACAGCATCAGCCTTAAGCCCATCTGATCCGTGGCTCAACCACGCTCCTGCCCTCCAAGCCTCCACCCAAGGAAAGTCGCTCCCACAGCCCTTGATAACACGGCATTGCGTGCGGTACCGCCACCGGACAGACGCACGACCGTGTCGGAGAGTTTTTTTGGTTTTCTTTTGGCTCATTGTGAAAGTCCTGTTTGCTTTCCTGCCCTTGGTACGAGGGGAGATTACCAAATAAAACTGAGGTGATTGAAAGCTAAACGTAGCTGTAGCTAAGATGACGCAGACCAAATGAGCTCTATCCACCATTGTGTTGTATTTTTTGTGTTTACCTTATGCTAACAGATGCAAATACTCCAAAGAAGTGTCGGGCATTGTTCGGGCTTGACCGACAGAGTTTATGGTGCAAACCATGCAGGTATAATACTACCCATTAGGCCTTTGGGGAAATAAAAGCAATCTGTCCTCTTAGTGCATTTGTGTGATTTTATTTTTTTAATCTTTTTTCCCCACTCCCCACCTTTCTCTATCCCACAGCATCAGTTGCTAATAATCTTTGATCTTTGGAATTTCTTGCTAATTTAATGCCATTTTCTCTCTTTCTTTACCAATAACCTCTCCCTGGTGGTAGAACTGGGAACAAGAAAATTTGAAGTCCTTAAAGCTGGCAGTTTTTTGGCTTTTCAATTTTTTTTTTTTTCCAGATTGTCAGCAAAATGAATGTTTAGCTGGACATCTATATTTTGTCTTTCACTTGGGTCTATGTCCGCTGCCTCCAGAGGCTTTTTAAAAAGGTTCTGGAATCTGCAGCACTAGTGTTTTTCTCATGATTAGAGATGTAAAAGCCAGTGTTTACAGCTTATATTGTACTAATTTTTTTTTGTGTTATCTGCAAAATTAAATAGCTACCTGTAGGCTTCTACGCCTTGGTAAGGTCTATGTAGATACTAGTTTTTTTAATTAACTGATGTCTTTTTTTTCTGATTCCAAAAATACATTTTTTCCTAAATTTTATCCCAGCAAGTGAGCTGTAAACGCCTGAGCTCTAGGCAAAACTAATTACAACTTTAGTAGGACAGTTTCCAGCATTAAAAGGAGATGAAAGACACCAGGGAGCCCAAATTTCGACAGCCCATGTTCTACTGGAGTTTAATTCCATGTATAACTCAGTATGTACTTCTTTCTTGGTGGAGGGATACCGAGTAGTTCTTTTCTCATTCCTTTTTCCTTATATAATCGCATTTGGTTAAATTTGTTGTTTCTTTGTTCTGATACAAGCAGTCTTTGAATTTGGAATATTATGATGGTAGGTATTTCAACCCAAACCACACTCTGTGTGTAGTGATTCCTCTCCTACATTTTCCCCTCTTACTCATGCCAGTCCCATGTGCTCCATCTCATTTAGAATGTAGATCAGATGTCCATCATATTTTGTGTATGCACGCAGTCTTGTTTGTGCTTAGTGTCGAGGAAAACATGGATCGAGGGTGGTGTTGTGTGTCAAAATACCAGATAAGGCACCAGAAATGTCTTCAACAGATTGCGTATTGTCCCGTTCGAGGCATGCTAGTACTGGGTGTTGGGGTCTTAGATACTAGTACATATATTAAACAAGCTTTGAAAGCAGCAGTTTCTTAAAGCTTAAAGGAAGAAAGGGTCAGTCCAGAAGAGCTGGTAGCCACTTCACTGTGTTAGGAGGCTTGAGTCTGATGCTAGCCGAAGACTGAAATGCTGTGTTTAGTTAGGCTTTATCCTGTGGTTAGTTCACTACACACTATCAGCAGATATTTGTGTAGTCTAGAGACAGAGTATTTGAAGCACATCAGGCTTTGTATGCCAAGTACCAGAACCAGGGGCACATCACGTTTGTGGTGCTTTATCTTTCACTAGATGCTGAAGTAAATGGCATATTTTTAAAACTACATTTTATCAGCAAGGGGACTTTTCATTTGGTCTGTACAGTGCTTAGTGACATGTAAGCATAAACCCTCTCTTGACTTAAGCCAGATTTTGGTCAGAAGTCTTTGCAGCACATTGGAGATGTCTTCAGTGGTGTAGCTGATAGCTTTACCCTTACTGATGCAGAGTCAGCTGCTTTTATTTTTGTTTTGGTTTGGTGTTTTAAATGCATGGAGGCATTTCGTCACTAGGTATTAGAGCATTTCTCCTCTAGTTCTGGTCCTAACCATTATAACATTGCATTTCCTAGCATGGTAGCATTTTGTAGCGCATCTTAGGTAGGTGCTAAAGATGTGCGGTTTGCTACCACAGTAGAAACTGAGACACCTTTGGTCACAGCAGCTGAATAAACCCTTGTCATCCTCAGTGGCTTTCAGTCATGGCAATTGCAGCATTACAGGTTTCCCAGTGCTGTCCAGGGGCTAATTTCGAGGGCAGCACGAGTGGCGTCAGGTCTGTTGATGATGTAGCAGTTGATGCTTTCAGAGTGACGCACAAGTGGATAATCCTCACTAGTGCCCCTGAGGGGGATATGTAGTATTTTTGTTCCCAGTTTTAGGAGACCAAACTGAGACATAAAGAGTTCCTTGGGTGTTTACTTGTTCCCCTTCGCCAGAGTTGCCTGGTGTTGTTCACGTCTGGTAAAATTTGGCTTGCAGGGTTTGGGGTTTTACCATCTCTGCCTTCTGTCCCACCTAACCCTGAGACATCCATGAATGACCACAGATAACACATGGTGGGAATGGCACAGGCTGGAGAAATGTTCCCTGCTTATGCCATCATGATTTAAGTAAATGACTATTCAGACTAAACATGTCCAACACTGTTAAAGAGTTTAATATACAACAGAAGCAGAGGAAGCAATCTGTTCCCTTTATCCTAGTTAACAGAAAATTACTTCATGTAGCAGACCAGTGGGTTTAGTTTTATTAACTCTGCAGCGTCAGAAAGCAGGTTTTAAGTCTGCTTGCCATGGGAACTCTTCCTTTCAGGCCACAGAACTTAAGTAGTATTAAAAAAAATATTTTTAATTTTTGGCATATTAGATTCAAACTGCCTCCAGTGAAGTAGTTAACTGCCTTGTAGGTTCAGAGCAATCCAGCTGAATGGCTTCTGGACCACCATCAATGAGACAGGCAGAGCTTGGGCCTCTGCTTGAAAATTATTTTGGCTGGGGGGAGGGGAGCCCTGCAGTCTCCAAATTGTGAGAACTCACCTTTCCACACCGGTATTACCGGTGTGCTTTGTGAAGCATCACTGTTGTGCTTTGCCACTGGAGCTGTACAGAAGGTCCAAACGTGAACTGTGGCCCTGGTAGTGTTCCACAGCTGAAGCTAGGAAGTGGTGAGACAGAGGAGAGGGGAGAAAGAGCAGCAGAACTGCCCTTAGCCAAGAGCCAGAGGCTTCCCGTGTTGTTTGTTTATGGTAGAAGAGTTAACAGGTTCTGTTTCGAGCCCACCAAATTAATTTTTTTCTGTCTTTTAACGTTGCTCTAATAAAGCATGGTTTACAGCCTTCACTTGCTGTCTTCTATCTTTCTTTTCTTTCTTTCTTTTTAACATTTCAGTTGCATGGTTGTCGTTAGTTTTTAGCATGTATTGATCTGCAGGCTAACGTGGTTAAAACTCTAATAGCCCTAACTCTTTACCTTACCCTGTGGAACGTGGAGCAGAACCTGAGAGCAGAGCCTGAGTCTGTGGAGGAAGGGATGTCACAGCACTGGCACCTTGCTGAAGCTGGTGGAAAGATGGGGTACCAGGGTTCTGTTGCCTTCCTGGCTATGGGAGATGATATCTTTTAACTCCAGGATCAAGCTGGTTGGATGAAGCTCCCTTGCAGTCGAGAAACATCTAGCCCCATTGCTTAGACAGCAGACCTTGGTTTAACCCAAGTCAAGTGCAGTTGCTGTAAATAGGGGAGAACATTGAAGACCAGCAGTGGAGCTGGGACACCTACACGAGGGGGGGATGTCACCCAGTGACATTCAGCTGCTGTGCCATGCTCGGGCGCTCCCTCTGAAGTTGCTGAGCTAGGGCGAGGTATCCACTGGAGGGGGAGAGACACCTACTCCGTCACGTTGGTGGCTTTGTGCAGCTTACCTGAGCATCCAAAGTTTGTGTGACAGAGCTGCTCGAGACAAACTTTGTCATATACCTCGGGCTGTGTGACAGCGGTTCCGCACTTCCCATGGAAAGTGTGCTCGTGAATAGGAGGGCTGGAGAGCCGTCATTATTAGGGTCCAGGTGGCCACTGAACGTCGTTCTGCCAGATTCTATGGTTGTTTGCCTCATTATTTCTGTCCTGCTGCTAGAATTGTCTTGCATATACTTGGCAAGAGAGATGGTGTGAAACTGTCATCTGTTTTTGTTGCTCCTTTACATTATTAAGTGGACAGAGGGAGGAGAAAAGATCTCTGTCGGGTCACTTACTTATTGGAAGATGAGCAGCTCTTGTGAGACTCTCATATTCCCTGGTGTGAAATAAGCTCCATGTTGCTCCTCACCTTTGTGCTTGTCATCGTGCTTTTCACCTTCTGAAATTGGATCCCACTCTGGACTTACATGGATGATGGCCTCTCAGAGGAAAATTCCCCAAAATGCAGACGAGCAGCTTTCCAAATCTACCACTCTCCCTTAAAACAAAAAGTAAAACTGAGTCGATTTAAAGCCACAACCTGCAGGCCATACAACCAGTTATTCTTGTTATTTTGGAACATACTCTGTTTATCCTGTTCTTTTCCTGTTTTTTCTTCTGTTTGCTTTGTTTGTTCGTTTTGTTTTTATTTCCCCTCTCTCTTGTTCTGTCTATTATATATCACTCCTATCTGACATTTCTGGATTTGGTGTGGTTCTTAACAGAGGAGAAAGCCATGAGCAGTAGTTTGCAGCCGTCCTTGCCTCCCAAGGGCAGTGCATCGTAAGAGACAACAGGTGACGCAGGTGTAGAGATAGCCCCGTTGTTGGACAGCAAGTTATGGGACATCTTGAGATGCCATCAACTATCCAGAGCTTTTATTTTATAAGGATTAATTTTTATTTTTTTTTCTGGAGGAAAGTCAGAGTTTGTAGATTAGCTCAGTGGACTCCAAAAACGTCTCTGATTTTCTGATTATTAAAATAACGGAGGAAAGGAGGTGCCCTGAAGAGGAGGGGGGACGAAGAGACAATTGGTGAATCCTTTCCAAATCTGTTAGCCGTGGGAAGCTTCCTGAGCGGGCTCAGTGCCGAGGACACCCCGCCAGACCCCCAGGACGGCGCGTGGGGCCAGGGTGCTGCCCGCGCAGAGCCCAGAGTAGCTAATTGACGGCTCTTTGCTTTAGATAACTGTCTCCATCAGCATCTCTGCCCTTTATTCACAGATAACTCTCTCCCTGTTTCTAGGAGAAAAAAAAAGTGCGTTCGCTACATACAAGGTGAAGGCAGCTGCGTCAGCCCACCCTCTTCAGATGGAAGCTTACTAGACTCTCCTCCGTCCTCCCCCGCCATGCTCGCCTCCCCCTCCAGAGACTCGAAACCACAGACTGAACAAACGCAACCCCTCTCGCTCTCATTGAAGCCCGACCCGCTGGCGCACCTGGTCATGATGCCGCC